ATGGAGAGGGGGGGGGGGGGGGGGGTGATGCATGCAATCAGGAAGCAGCAGGAAGTCGGTAGAGGACACAGGGCCGCTAGACACGAGTGACGCCAGTGACGTCACTGGTTGCCAGGAGCTAGTTGGGAAGCCGGCCAGAACATCCCAGGTTTCTAAGAGCTTGGCGGGGAGATTTGTATGGTCCTTACACATCTTCCCACCCTGCTCTTCGCAACCTGGATGCTCTGGCTGGAAAAGGGGCGGCAGGCACACTGCAGCAGAGAGCGCCCATGCCACTCAAGGTGACCCAAAGAGATGCCGCCTGAGGCAACTGCCTCAGGCTGCCTCATTAAAGGGATGTATTCCTTACTGCTGGTAGGGCACGAAGTGCTTATATGACAGAGATTGTATATTCCTGCTTTATACATAAAGTTTTTTTTGTTTTTTTTCGGCTGTGTTCTTTGTTTTGTATTACGTTTGACCTGTAGGTGCTCTGACCATTGTGACCAATGACTTTGTGCATGTTGTTACTAATTTTATTAAAGAATTACTAAACTTACTTACCTGGTCTTGTGATTTCTTTTTCTTTTCTTCCTTTTTTTTCCGCCTGCTTGTGAAAATGTTTGTGCTATTTTCACGCTTGTTCCTATATAACAATACATTTCTGTTTAACAAATTGGTGACTGTCCGCACAGCGCGCACCTTTTATTCTAATCTAGAAGAAATATGTGATTTACTTTTTGTCTTTATTTTCTAGAGGAAGGTTACGTGAAAATGTTCCTGAGGGGACGTCCGGTTACTATGTATATGCCCAAAGACCAAGTGGAATCGTATAATCTGGAGGCAAAGGTCGAGCTTCCGACCAAGAGGCTTAAACTGGAATGGGTGTATCCTTTACTGATGGCGGGCAGGTAGAGCAATCTCCCTGCTCGGTGTGTCACCTTTGAAATACGAAATTTCAGGTAGTTTTAAATCTTGTTGAAGAGCTTCTTAGTACTTTGGCACCCCAAGATTAGTGTATGTAAGAGACGGCAAGGAGCCTACAATGCATGTTTTTGGGGAATACCCTAGCCTGCAGGTACAAAGGAGGGGTTCACAGCCAGATTACTAACATCAGTGAGTGGGATGGGTCTGGTGATCTACAACAACGTCTGGATGAAAAATGTATGCCAAGTATATGTCCCCTGTATGTTTTTCAAGGTTTAAAGCTGAACTCCAAGCTGGTATAAAATACACACATTATTACAGCTCTGTATTCATTAAAGAAGAACTCTAAAGGCAAAACCCATGCTAGCACCTCAACCCCAGAACCCCCCCACACCACCACCACCAGTGCTTTTTAAGGAAAAATCCTATACAAACCTTATACCTTCAGTCTTCTAGCTGGTCCGGTGACCTCACAGGATTTTCCCCTTCTTCCTTAGAAGCCATTTTTTCTGGACTGAGCGGCGCTCATGTAATTACAGATGAGTTCCACCTAGTCCAGTCTGTAAGATGACGCAACCCCAGGGGGTGCATGAACTACAGGCTGGGCTTTAATGAAATTGGCGCAATTATGTCAGTGTTGTTCTGTCCATAGAAGGCCGGTGGCCCTGGACTGAGGAGAAAGCTGAGGATGTCGCTGGGGCATGGAGAGGGTAAGTATAGCTTAGCCACATTTATTATTTAATATAAGAGAGTGGTGGGGTAGGGAAATACACCTATTGTAAGTACCTGAATTTGACTTGGTATTAGCCACTTGAAGAGCCATGTACAGCAGAGCCAAGACTAGGAAAAAGAGAAGCAGCACAAGGAGCCAGTCAGCTTTGCTGCAGTGCTCATGTACTAACAAGGAACATGCTGATAGGACAGAGCATAGTGACGTGATTCCACTGGAATCTTTTATTAAAGCTTGTGCCACATCACTGTAATCATTAAAGCAGAACTCTAAAATCACAACCCATGCTAGCACCTCAACCAACCGCCCAAGGCCCGCTCTCTGGCGCGTTTCACCCAATCACGAGCTTAGTTGTAGAGTTTGTATGTATGGGCTCACATTGGAGCAAGAATTTGTTCCCAGCGGCAAGCACCCGGCTCATTCCTTTCCTGAGCCATGGAGGAGCGGTGCTTCTTTTTTGTAGGATATTTCCTTAACCAGTTTTCCAGCTACGGCTATCGAGGGCGAGACTGCCGCACCAATTTGTACCTTCTACCCACTGGAGAAACAGTTTATTTTATAGCTTCCGTTGTTGTGTTGTATAATGTAGAAGAACAGCTGCAACGACATTACACCGGTCACAACGATGACGTCAAGTGGTGAGTCCACAAACATCCCATTAATGAATAATCTTGTAAGGTTCTGTATCCATGGATTATTACACAGGGAAGAGCAGAGCAAACAAAGAAAATGTATGGGCGGCACAGTGGCTTAGTGGTTAGCACTTCTGTCTTGAGGCACTGGGGTCCTCCGTTAGAATCCAAGCCAGGGCACTATCTGCATGGAGTTTGCATGTTCTCCCTGTGCTTGTGTAGGCTTCCTCTGAGTACTCTGTTTTCCTCCCACACTCCAAAGACATGCTGGTGGGTTCATTGGCTCCTGTCTAAATTGGCCCTGCATGCATGCGTGTGACATAAGGACCTTGGATTGTAAGCTCCTCGAGTACAGGGGCTGATGTGATTCGATTCTACATAATGCACTGTGTAAATTGTTTGTGCTCTATAAATGTCTATATTAAATATATCAACTAGTACAGTTGCAAAAGGAAAACAACAGATATAAAACTTTGAGTTCAATTCCATTTTTCTTGTTTGTTTTCCAGTAATTATAAAAATAAAAAAGCAACTCTTACTACAACACTGACCTCTTCTCTGGGCTTTGTTTTCCATGTGGATTCACTGCTCTGTCATTCAGCCCAGTTCTGCACCCGGGTTGAATGATGCCCAAAGTCATTCATACCGCTTCCTGTGAATGCAGGGCGTCATGGGCCCATGCCCTGATGGTGTGCGTCTCATGGCACTTTGCACTTGCAGTACAATGAGTCAGTGGCACTGACGTCATTACGTCTGCAACGCTTTCTGCATTGCGGACCGCCCAGGACCTGGAGAAGAGAAAGAGAACCCTGCATGACGCCAACAAATCTGAGAAACTTATAATGATAAAAAAAAAATATTGTGTTGGGGAGAGTGGACCTTAAAGTGACATTAACTCAGGAGTTGAACCTTAAAAATACATACAAGTCCCTTAACTATTAACAAATATGCATCTTATTTGTGTATCACTCGGCTGTAGATCCTCCAATCATCTCTGAATTGGTGCCGGCACTGTCCTTCCTTCTGGATGGTGGCTACTTTTGTTCCCCATGGTCCCTGTGTGTGTTGTAAAGTAGTCACCGCTCCGAGCTCGCTCCCGGGATGGACTACAATCTCATGTTTAGTTTAATAATATGCATTGAAATTGTAGTCCATCCCGGGAGCGAGCTTGGAGCGGTGACTACTTTACAACACACGTGGTCAAGGTACTTGAATGCGTTTTTAAGATTTAACTTCTAAGGTTAGTGTCACTTTAACTTGCGTTTTAAAATTTTAATAACTCTAAAACCCCAGTCGCACCCTCAAAACTAACTTTCTTTTGCATTGTAATGGTAAGTCGTTCTGTTCATTTATGTAGTAGAGCCGGTTCAAAAAAAATCTATTGTCCAGCACATTATAAAAATATGTACAAAAGCACAACACGTTCCCTTTAAAGTACCAGCTGGCAGAGCACGCTGGGAGTTGTCATCCTCAGAGAAAGGTGACATTCCCATGGTGGGAAACAGTTAAGATTTCTCTATGCGGCTGACAAGAAAGTGCACCCTGCTAGGCAGATGCTTGTCAGACAGTGAGTCACCCTGGCTTGTTCTGCAGACCTCTGCTGTTTCTGCAGACTCTTAGAAGTGTATGTTAATTATTAATAGCCTTGCTGAAGTCTGCATAAGTTTTATCTTTTATATATTTTCTTTCTTTTAGCCTCGCAGTCCATCCTGATAAAATTACCATAGCAACAGGCCAGGTTGCAGGAACATCCAAGGATGGTAAAGTAAGTGATTCCTTTTCTGTTACAGGGGTACAGCTCTCTCCCTGGCATTGTTCCAGACTCCGAAAGTTCTTCTCATCTTCCTGCCAAGGTTTTTTTTTAATATATATTTAGAGCATGGGGATTGGCTGATTCTGCAGCAGCCTTGTGTTCAAAAGGGGGGCCTTGGGGATGAGTGCTTGCAAGTGTTCTGCAGTACGGAATGTCACAGGTTTACAGGAAAAGCAGCAAGTGTTTATTTTCCCTTTTTTTTCCCCCCTGTTTTTGTTTTTGCTGCTATTGAGTTATTGTAGAACCTGAGAATAATTTTTGAGGTCTGTTTTGCAGCGAGTCATTACACTTGTGACGAGGGAGTCGGCTTCCCAGTCAATCAGGAAGTCGGGCGGCGTTTAATGACCTGCTGCCCGGCTTCCTGCTTGGTCGGGAAGCCGGCTTCATGCTCCCTCGTCACCTAGTGATGAGAAGCATGGGAATGGCTTCCCTGCTGATGGCTTTACTTAATGGGACTTCGGTATCGGCGAGTACCAGGAAAAAAATATCGGTTCTCGTACTCGATATCAAAATATCGGTATCGGTGCATCACTAATACATACATGAGTCAATTTGGTCCCTGGTGTTTAAAGCTGAACTCTACACAAATGGCTTAAGAAAAGGAACTTAACTTATCTTAAAGTGGACCTTTACCCCCTTTCACTAAAAATCACGTTAGCATCATCTTACATTCATTAGATAAACAAACCTATTGTTATTTTACTTTCAATTTCTTCTTTTCCACTTTGGCACAAATTATGTATTATCTTTGGGTGGAAACATAACTCCCCTTAGGAGAATGGGATAGGGACCTGAATGGACTCAAAGGAACCTAACCAAACAGCAGCTGCTGAGCACATTTCATACCAGAAGTTTGTATGGTTAGTTTCCTTTGAGTCCATTTAGGGCCCCATCCCATTCTTCAAAGCCCTTTTTGATGGGGGAGTTTTGTTGATTTTATGTGATCAAATTATAAATGGTATTTTGGACTCTTTCTGCTTTTGGTTTGGCGTCCACTCTTGTACGTTCATTACTTGAAATACATATAAGAGGTGTCTTACCTGCCAAATGATTTGTATTTCTGTCCAGACAGTTCTAAAATGTACACGACACAGCCCTGTCTGTTGGGCAGGAGACCTGACAGGGCTGTGTCATGTACATTTTAGAACTGTCTGGCTCCCAAATTCCATATTAATTTGTCCATCCCTCTTTTAGACAGTGCAGTTGGCATACATACTGGACAAATGCGGTGAGAGGCTTTCATTTCTGTTGGTCAGAATATTTACAATTAACATCAACAATATCATCAAAATTTTGATTTTTTTTTTCTTCTAAGCCTTCGTTCACATTTTTGGGGTGCAGGAATGCACGCATTCCCATGCGTGTTAATGCAGCTACGGCAGCGCTCCCTATTTGCAATGGTACAGTGTGGTGCTATTTATCCGGCATGACACCCAAATGCACCTTGCAGACACCTTGCAAGGTGCAGATCTGATTGCCAGGCCATTGAGCTGTACTGCCAGCCCATTCATTTTAAATAATGCATCTCAACAGTTAGGTGGTAGAAGTCACCAGCACTCACTTGTAGTGTGCAAGAAGCATAAGCACTTTTATTGATGCGTCGCAGAGCCAACATTTTGGGGCCCCACAGGGTCCCTCCCTCGGGGTGACATTGTGACGTCACAATGTCGCCCTGAGGAAGGGATCCTCCGCGGCCCCAAAATGTTGGCTCTATAACGCGTATGCCCATCAGTCCCAGACAGACATTTGTCACATCGTCTATTTTGTGCTTCATCATCCATACAGAATCTGTTACTTGTAATTATTTTTTTAGTTATTTGGCTCCCTCTAGAGGCAAGTTGGTGAACTTCAGAAAATGTTGCTTGTTACAAAATATACCTTTTTTATTTATTTTTTTGGTTGTTGAGCAACAGATTTTGTTTAGAATAAATATTATACATATTAGATTCTTTGTATAAAATAAATATTAAACAAGATAAACAAGCTGCAACACATTATTACATCTGGCTGTAGAAGGAGCTCTGGTTAGCACACTTTCTACTGGAAGGATTGGTGCGTGGCGGTTTGTACTGTAGTCCTGCAAATCCGGGTCTTTGGTTTAGTTCTCCGTGGTAACACCATTTTAATGGTAATTATACATCCTCCCTGTTTTTGTCTGTGTGCTTCCCTCTGGGCCCTGTTGTCTTTGCCCAAATTCCAGCTGTTAGATCAGTTCCCTTCAGACCAAATTGTCCTTGGAACATGTGAGTGCATGACTGTGGTGGGGACATTATATTATAAGCTCCCTCAGGGGCGGGGACTAGTGTTAACGGTTCTGCATACTCTGGAAAATGCTGGGGAATAAAAGACATAAGACAATAAGAATAAAGAATTGCATGGGCATGGCTGAATATGCATTGTAGCTCAGTGGTTCTCCCTGTGCTTGTGTGGGTTTCCTCCGGGTACTCTGGTTTTCTCCCACACTCCAAAGACATGCTGGAAGGTTAATTGGCTCCTGTGACTGTTGGCCTTGCATGTGTGTGATCGGGACCTTAGACTGTAAGCTCCTTGAGGGCAGGGACTGATGTGAATGTGTAGTATGTAAAGCACTATGTAAAGTTAGAAGAGGACAGCAGGGTGGAGGAGGTCAGGTTGCAAATGAATTGGCATGGGCATGTGACTGTAATAAATGTTAAGGAGTTTGTATAAAGAATCTATGGACTCTGTATCTGGAAGTGAAGCTCAGGGCAGCCATCAGAAATTTTGGGGCCCCTTACACGGCAGGTTGGGGACCACTGATGTAAGGGAACCGGGCAGGCTGCCCGGGCCCCTTACATGAGTATCGGCCGTACCCCCCTGATGGCTGCCCTGGTGAAGCTCATGTTTGTCATGTCATTGTACAGTGAAATTCTCCATTTTAGCATAATATAGGACATCTCACGAGCCCTTTATAAGAAGCAATAACATTCCAGTGCCCAGTCTTGCTGGTGCATAACAATATGTTGACAACATTCTCTCTATGCATAGAGTGCAATACGCTTAGATTGGCCATAGGAGATTGCCATGATGCTGCTTGTATGGATTGATTGTGATCAGGGTGAGTCATTATCATATTTTGTTCTTCCAGCAACTACCGCCACATGTCCGCGTTTGGGATTCTGTGACGCTCAACACATTGCACGTCATCGGCATGGGTTACTTTGATCGAGCTGTGACGTGCGTGGCTTTCTCCAAATCTGTAAGTATACCCAGGACCAGATTTCTGGTTGAGTCCCTTGCTTTGAAGGTTGTTTGTTTTGATGCATCTAGAGCTGGGCAGATCACAAGGGCTTAATAGTGTTTGCAGCACAAAAAACTACAGACCTTGTACAAAAATACATTTAAAAGATAAATGAAGCCAAGCCTTCTTTTTTTTGCCTTACTTCTCTTTTGGGTCACTGGAGGACAGTTACTAATGTCCTCCTGTGACCCAAATTCAGCCAATAGCTGGCTACTGCCCTCTATATGCTGACAGCGCTGCAGTCGGGAAGGATCCCAGCAATATTTTTTGGATCCATCCTGCTGCTTGATTGACAGCTGGCTCTGCCTCTCTAGAGCTAGAGCCAGCTGTGTCCACCCCTTCCCCTGTCATTTCCTTCCAATGAGATCTGAAGGAACAGAGAGGGGAGGGGGAAATCCCTGCAGGGAGCAGTGACTGACAGTCACCATTCTCTGCAGGAAAAAGGCCGTGAGCTGAACGATCAGCGGTTTGTGATCGCTCAGCTCTCGATCAATAGAGCCAACGTGTGACACCTGCAGTGTCACACACCGGCTTGAAGTATTGGGAAGAGTACAATTTACTCTCCCAAAACTTCTCATTTAAAATTGTCACCAATTCTAACACATATCCAAAAATCTAATCAAGGTTTCTATCCTCAGCTTAGGTAGGTGGGCATGACCATGTAAATCCCAATTTAACGGCTTTGTGTCATTGTCCTTACATAAGAAATAATTATTATTTTTTTATGCTGCCAGAAATCTAGTGAGATTGTAACTTCTTGTGCCCTCTCAAGCAGTGTTATCAGCCCTGCCCAGTTCATCTCTTTTGACTACAGAACACCCCCCCCCCCTAT